TTGTGTACTTGTGCAAGTATTTCTGGAAAGATAGGAATGAATGAGCAATGGAGTTGCTGGGTCAAATGGTAGGTACATTTAAAAGTACTGATAACTGCTGCTGCTAACATCAAATAGGATTTATATGAACAGATCATACCTACTTTTTTAAACCTATATCTAAATTTAACATCATTAATCTTTTACATATTTGTGAATGGTAAGATAAAATATTATGTTTCCTACTTGCCAATGTAGGTAAACTGCTTTTCACATGTTTGGTGAACTTTGGTGCATTTTCTTCATATATCTTTTGGTTCATTTTTCCTGTTGAGTTTGGTTATTTTTCATATTGAATTTAGGAGTACTTATGAATTATAGCTATTCTGTGGTTTTTACATGTATCTTTTCCATATTTTTACTGCTTGTTGTTTAACTACACATTATCTTGTAGAGACAGTGTTATATAGGTAACCTTATCAACTTTTTGTCTTTAGTTTTAAATTGCATATTTAACTGAGAACAGCTATCCCTATCCCAAGAATATAAATACATTTTATTGTAATTTTTCATAACACATATATAACTTGTATAAAGAAAATCTGGATTTTATATATATAACATTATATATGTTATATAACATATATAACATCTGGAGTATAATTTTGTGTATAATGTGAGCTAACAAATCTGTTTCAGTTGGGATGTTTTTCTATAGCAAGTGACCAAGCCAGATTAATGCATCTAAAGTGAAAATGAAATTTATTATTAACTCATGTAATTATGATGTGTAAGCTATCAGCAGGTATAACAAGGCCCAGATATTAGAGCTCTTTCTGTCTTCCATTCTCTGTCATCTTTTGTTTCTGCATATGTTTGTATGTTAACTTGATTCTCTCCCAATACAGACAGGCTTTTTCCAAGTGACAGGGAAGATGGCATCAACAGTTTGTATTCATATCTTTACAAGGTCTGTGGCTCCAAATCAAAAGTCCTTGAGGAAGGAATTTGAGTGGCCTGTCTTGGATCATATTGTTCCCACCTCTGTGGCCAGGGCAGGCAAGGTATTATGAATGATGACTCCAGCAAAAGTATTAGACTGGAGTGGGGTAGGAGTGATTTTTTTTAGAGGAAGAGGCATACTACAAAGAAGAGGGAAAAAAACCCAGTAAATATAATTCTGCCCTTTAGTAGTTCAGCATGTACATGTATACAAAATCTGAAAGTCATACATGTATACATATAATTTTGGGGTGTTTCCCAGATCACATGTGGTTATTTTCATTGAAGGCAGTTGGGAATTTTTTATGCTTTCCATCAATTACTGTGGATAAGATTTTTATGCAGCTTCTTTTCATTTCACAATGCGTGAGCCAAAATATAAATGTAACCACCTGTGATGCTTATAGTGGAGGCATTCTTTGATCTATCTGGCTGCCACCTGTTGTAATTGAGAAGCGAGAAGAACATGGGAAGTGCCCCCTCTGGAGGCTGTTCTGTTTTAGCAGCCTCGTTCCTGCTGGCTGTTAGGAAAGGCTTCCACAGGGATTTCTATAGGATTGAAAAATCACGCATCATAGTTTGGTGAGTTTGAAGATGCTTCGGCTGTTGGACCTCCTTGTAAATTCCTGGGTACTGAGCTTTTACCTTTTGTCTGGAGACAGAGGTTAGTCCTCGAAAGTAAGCTTTTCCACTCCTCAACTCATCTGCTTAGTAGGTCAGTCACCCTGACTCTAAGTTGAATTTGTAATAAGCATCTGCCTTGACTTATCATTAAATAATGAGCTGCAGAACTGAGGAAGGGTTTTGAACCATTTCTTCCTTATCCGTCATAGCCAGTGAAGCAAACTGGAACAAACTCCATTTTCTAAAATATGGATGAACTCTATGATAACTAGAACGGGGGTGAGGGGTGGGGGAAGGAATAGACATGGGCATCCTGCTAGACACTTTTAATCTTCCTCTTAAAAACAATTGCAATGTGCGCGTTGCATAGTACCCTGTTCTCTGAAACCATAGAGTCTTAAACAACGGAGCCCTACTTAAAGATGGCAGCACTTTGAATCTGTTACTGTCCAAGGTCCTGACAATAATTCAGTCTCCTGCATCAGGTTCATTACGCCTTTTCTCAGTCTCACATTCCAGCACTGTAACCTATCATTTTTCGAGGTCTAGCACACCTACATTTTATAAGTTCATGTGTATTCGGATTTCAGTGAGTCAACCTTGACTGAACCAGTAGAAAACCTTGGGCTGCAGTAAATCAGATCTGTACTCTACCTCCAGTATTAAAAGTAGGAAAAATTAAGGTATTTGCTTCAGGGTGTTTTTAAGAACCTACACCCTTAACCTTGTTCTCTATGCCATCTTCAGGTCTTATCCCCTGAAGATTACTTTTTTTGTTCTCTTGTTTTTCTTTGCACTAAACTTAAAACCAAAAGCAAACCAGCTGACAATCAAGTCATTTTTTTTACCCTAGTGACTTGATCCATGTTACATACATGTTAGAGTAGAACTGTTAACTGTGGAATTTTCAGTGACTGATTTTTTTTTCCAGAGTAGATCACTGGTCTTTCTTCACAGTCTTTGTGGACTCTGTCCAGTAGCATTTTCATTACCAGCCTCAGTAGCACTCTATCAAGTAGCAAAGTGTTAGCTCTCATCTGCCTCTCAACCACAGGACACTTCCTGTCTAATTTCAGGCCAGTCCAAAAGAAGCCACTGATGTCTTTATATTGTGGTGGTTCTGTGCCATCAAGACACTGCCGCTCATAGTGACTCTTTGACCAACAGATCATGTGCCCTCCTCACGGTCTGCATGTTCAGGCTCGCTGTTATAGTGACTGTGCCAGTCCCTTTTGTTGGAGCCCCTCCACATTTCCCAATAGGGTGTCTTTTTCCATGGATTGGCCCCTCCTGATAGCATGTTCCAGAGTATGTGAGAAGAAGCCTCACTATTCTTGTCTTTAAGGAACACCCTGGTTACACTTCTTCCTTAGTGTAGGTAGGCCTTTATCACTAGTCCCAAGACATAGCCACTTGAGTCCAACATCCTGCATTTTACACGCAGTCTGTCTTAAATCTCTAGCATTAATAGGCTCCTGATCTTAGTTGCACAGGAATAGTGACACTCTGACCAACTGCTTTGCAAAGTCCTGAACATTAAAAGATTCCTGGTTTTCCACCCAGGGAACTCTCATGACTTAGTGGTCAGAAGTGGTGCTGCCAACCCAAAGTATGTGGTTGAATCCAAAGGAGAAAGATGGGCAATTTCTTCCCATGTGATTTATTGCCTCTGACAACCTTCAGGATGGTCAGTGATAAGTCATTTCCGACTTGATGGTACACAACAACAGTTTCTCAGTCATTGGTAGCAGAATATTCAGAGCACCTGCCACATCTTTAATTTACCAGTGCCATATTTAAGAATCATATTCTTAAAACACTTTTTTGGGTTATTTGAGACTTGTTGAATCCAGGTGGCAGAAATTTTATCTCAGACTAGTTTTAAAAAGGAATTCTGTTCTTATATTTGGGAAATGCAGAGATGGTTCCAGCCTTAGACACATTATTGGATCCAGAGAACCAAATGAGTTTATCCACGTCTCTTTCCCTCTCATTTTCACAAATTTTCATTCTATGATGGACTTTGTATCTCTTGTCGTTAAAATGTTTCATTCTCTACCACCCCATGTAATGGGAAATAAATTTAGTCCATTCTTAATGTATCCTCTTCTTGTCCACAATAGAAGTTGTTAAGACCTTGTTATTTCTAAATTTTAAAAGTCGGAATGGGATCTGAGCAGCTTAGTCTGCATAGCGATTCCTGGGGTGTCGTTGTGGCCACCAGGAGAGGGCTGTATCTGGCTAATTGGGCTCCAGTGGTCAACCCAGAGGGACAGGGTACTTGATTGGGAGCCCTGGCAGGTTCCTGGTTGAAGTGGAGAAAAGCATCTCCAATAAAGAAAAGAAAGGAGTCTTGCTGGGGGGGGGGCGGAGGGGATGACTACACATTTAATTAACTTTTACTGTTTTTCAAATTGATAGCCAGCTTTCCCAGTCTTACTTTTCTCTTTACTAATTTAAAAAGGAGAAAGATGGGCAGTCTACTCCCATGTGATTGACAGCCTCTGAAAACCTGATTGAAGGTTTTCAGAAGGGCTCAGTTGGTTCCAGCTCAACAGCAATGAGTTTGTTACTTAAGATATTACCAATATGAACACATAATACATTCGATTTGTCCCGCTATTTACCAGTGCTGTACTGTCTCACTTCTAAAAAGCTTTGAGATGAAAAAAGAAAAGTAAAGTCTTTTCATCTGTTTGACTAGTGAAAAATAGGCAGTGATGTGATACTTTTAGAAAGTATAGAAATATTTAGCCAAAGTGAGATTCATGAGACTTGTTCCTGGACAGTTAAATTTGCCACTTTAAAAAATTAAATAACTCGGAAAGTATGTGAGATTGAGATTAGGGTAAAAAAACCTAATTCAGTACATTTTCAAATTAATAACCACAATTATCTTGATTCATTAGGGGAGAATTAATTTCATGTTTATGTTTATAGGCTCAAATCTATTAGATATTTAAACAGAATTTTAATGAAAATTGTTTTAAAATTAATGATAGCCTTTCTTTTCTATTCAGAAATCCATATTGAAAATATAAAGGTAATATTTTATAAATGTGTGTTTTTAATTACTATCTTTATTCCTTGTAAATTTATACCAGTCCCTCAGATATTCTAATAGATGAACTTTGAAATCAGATAACCCAGAATGTTTGAATTATTTATAAAATAGAAAATTACTCACAGTGATATTCTGATAGACCTCTTTCAAATAATTACATGACATTTGTTTTGGTTACTTGTTTTATTTTGGTTATTCAAAGATTATTTTTCTTTTTAACTTTTTGGATCTTAGATGTGCACTGGATATGAGCTTTGGATAAATAAGGTGGTGGTCTTTATGATTTTCTTACCTTCAGCAATTTCTTTGTGCCTTTTTCATTTGGGAATAGGTGATTACAAATCAGACAAGTCTAATGGTGAAAGAAGCGAGTCTCCCGGACCTGGAAAAGGTGGATCTGGTTCTACCCGAATTATCACTAGATTACGAAACCCAGAGAGCAAATTGAGCCAGTTGAAAAACCAGCAGGTGGCAGCTGCAGCCCATGAAGCAAATAAATTCTTTAAGGAAGGCAAAGAGGTGTGTTCTTACTGCTTTTTTATTTAAAACAAACAAAAACGGAGAAATTGACCTCTTGCTCACAGTTGGATTTGGTCAAGGTTCCCAGAGGACCAACTGATCTGAGTAAAATGAGGCTTTTTTAAGGAAGGTGCACCACGTGCTGCTGGAGGTGGACGTGTTGGAGGGCACCCGGCAGTGTCCAGAGTCAGGAAGTCTCTTCCCCATCAGCCACAACATCGTCATCATGCTGCTAAATGATGAGGAAACCGAGACCGAGTCTTGTCGGGCCCCCTTTTCGTTGTAACTGTGTATGGTGGTGTTTGTACATTCTCTGTTGGCCTTGTTGCATCCTCAGCCCTCCGCCCAGTGACACCAGGTGCATTGTTCTTGAGCTCCATTGTGTGCGTGTGTGTGTGTGTGTGTGTATACACACATATATTTCTCATTAAAGGTTCAAAACAAACAAAAAAAGGAATATCTCTGAAATGTGAAATAATGTTAACTGTACCTTACTTAAAAATGGTTGGGAAGTTTTAAACCTACTTTTGATATATATATGTATACTTTTGATATGAATGTGTGTGTATGTGTGTGTGTGTGTATATATGTATATATATATGTATGTATGTGTGTGTGTGTGTGTGTGTGTGTGTGTGTATATATA